GAGGTGTGAACATGGTGACTCATGCCATGAGCTCCTGCCCCAGCATGATCCCAGAGAGAAAAGAGGAAGGTGGCACCTTTGAAAAAGGCATTGGGCGGCGGCCCATTGCGGGCACTTGGGCACTGGTCACTGTGAACGGGACACTAAGGAGTGCCCAGAGGACTGGATCCCTTGTCCTGCGTCCTGGGTTTCTGGGTTGTGTTCTCCCCCTGTGCGTGTGTGTGTGTGTGTGTGTGTGTGCGTGTTTTATCCTGTGTGGTGTCCCTGTGGAGGAAAGAGCCACCCTGTCTGCTGAGCTGATCCTGGCAATGCTTTGCTAAATGCAGGGAGCTGGTTGACTGGGGAAAGCACAGAGTGATGGCTGTTCCAGGCATGAGGAGTAAAGCTAGTGCTGGAGTCCAGAGAGTGTCTGGGCACCAAGTGGAAGAGAAGATTGATGAAGAGTAGGGAGGACAATGCACAGAGGGAGGAGAGCTCATGCTGAGCATCCTAAGTGACAGATCCCCTTATCTCTCATAGGAAGGGCCATGTCATTACCCTTGGGCTCTCTGACATCATACAATGTGCTAGGGGCTGAGGATTTCAGAAACAAGCAGGACACAAGTGCTTCCTCAGCAAGCATTGACTCTCCCACATATGGGGTCTCTCCATGGTGCTAGGATGCCAGTCAGCACTCACCTGCACATCCAGGGTCACCTCTAGGCACATACCTGCTGCTTCAGTAGCTCCCCTCCTTCAGGATCCCATCATCCAGCTGGGTCACTCCCTACCTCTACTCAGTCTCCTGCTAACCCCTCAATCAGGCCACATTCTTCAGGGAGAAATTAGGCAACTGCCTCCAAAATCTCCTGTCCCACCTGCAGGAAACTCGGTGGGTGAGGTATTTGTCCATGTGGTTGACTCCTCCACCTCCTACTCTCACCGTGTCATTAGCATCTCAGTTCTGAGACCATCACCTCCCTCCACTTCAGGGGCATCCTCTCCTGCCCATCCTCTGCAGCTTGTCATCATTTAGGAAATGTCTGAGCTTTTCCCCGCATACACCTCACTCTCTCACTGGTATTGTCTGTCCCCTCCCCCCCCCTCCTTCTCAGTCCACCTGCTTTCAAATTCAGGGAGACCTGCTTCTCTGGACTTTTTCACTTTTCTCCTGTCAGTACCCTCTTCTGTCTCTATGCAGCCTGCACCCCATGATCCACCACACCAACTGCTCTCCACTGACTAAGATCTCTGGTGCTGACTT